GTCATCTACTGCATTCTCTTCTACTACTAATATGTCAAGTTAACCTATCTTGTGAAATGCTTCAAAGATACACCAAAGCTTTACTAATTTCTTAATCACACTTAGGGCAACACTTGCTTATACCTTAATTAATAATAGGTTTGAATAGCAACCTATATTTCTGATGCTCCTAAAAATCTGAGAAAATTACACAGTAGCATACTACTACCCTAAACAGACTACCATAAAAATTTCATGGCATTTGGATAAGTAAACTATCCTACACAAAATGACAAGCTATAGCCTAAAAATGAGCATGAAATTACTTTGTACTATGAAAAGTGTCAAACAACAGAATTAATATTTTTCCTAGGTTCTTCATGGTATATAATGACTGTACAAAAATTATCACATGCATGTTTTATACAAAGTTTGCTCTCTAGCAAAAATAACAAAAATCAGCCATTTAAGGTACTTGAACTACACCTCTAAAGTTTTCCACAGCACATGCATGAAATATATTTTTCCTAGGAAGTACATGACATAAGAAGATTAACAAACTTGGAATCATATTTTTCTGAAGCCTAGATATTTTTCTACATATTTTTCAAGTTATCAGCAATATTCAAGATTAAATAAAATCCTATAGAAAAGTATATCAAAAATGACATGCACTATTTTTCTCAAGTAGATCTGGTGATAAGGAACCTAGAAAATTTTGTTTCAACAAATTTGGAACAAGTTTGATCATCCAAACATTTTTCAAACCATTTTTGATTTCAAATAACAAATAATAAAGGAAATCAATTCACTTTAAATAATACTGGGCCGGCCAGCTGGAAACAGCTGGCCCACGGCCATCACCGCCTCAAGCGCGCGCCCAAGCGCCGAGGGAGGGGAGTCGGCCTGCTCGGGGGCTCGCCCACGGCCACTTGGCTCCGGCCTACCGGTCGAGGCAGGCCATGCTTGCTGGCTATATATTAAGGCCAAGGCTGCTGCTCGCCACACGGTCCGGCGGCCATCTCCCACGAGGCAAGGCGGGCTAGCGGCGCATGCGATGCGCGCGCGAAGATGGTGAGTGCGGTAGGGTAGCTAGGCGGGCCGAGAAGAGGAGGAAGGCGACTTCCATGGCGGCCGAAACGACGGCGACGCCGCGGGCCGCTTGGGTGGCGAGATCGAGGCGGCTCTACCGAGCTTCGGAAGGCGGCGCAAATGCGAGCACAGCTTGAAGGAGGGCGAGGCGGAGCTGCGGGCGCGGGATTGCCAGCCGAGGTGGGGAAGCCGCGGCGAATTCCGCCGGCGGGTGCGCGGCGCGGCGAGAGGCAGAGCTTGGGGCTCTCGGCTTTGGCGAAGAGGGAAGGCAGCGCGGGGGAAAGTGGGCGAGCTCACCGGCACCAGCAGGTGTAGGCGGGCGCGTGGACGCGGGCGCAGGTCGTGGTCACAGGCATGGCGCGTGCTGATGCTGGCCAGGCGGCGGCTGCGCGGCCGCCAGCTCGCTCAGCTCATGGCCGGACGCTGGCACATGCATGCGCAGCAAAGGCGCTGGGAGGCAAGCCGCGCGCGCGCTGCATGGTGGCCGGCACGAAGCGAGGCGAGGCGAGAAGGCGGCAGGGAGGCTCATTGGCCGGCATGCGGGGCTGGGCCGGAAAGGAGGCGGCGGCCCGCGAAAACAGAAACACTCTTTTTAATTTCCAATTTCAATAAATTTTTAAATACAGTTTTCAAATATTATTTTGAGCAAGAAAATGACCTCTTTTGAAAATGTACCAAAAATGAAAGTTGCTTAGAATTTAATTCCCTACAACTTTGCTTTTATGACCACAGCCAAATTCTTTCTAGATTTTGAATTGGAAGATCAAAGTCCACGTTTAGCTCAAAACCCTAATTTTTGGAATTTATTCTTGAAGCCAAATTTTGAATTAATTTGAATACAAACATTGCTCCAAAAATTGAACTAAACATTGCTAGATGATTTACAATAGCAGCCAAACATGTTCTACTAACCTAGCAAGCAAGAATCAGAGCAAAACAACTCTAATAAGTGTATGCATCATTTACGTTTCACAAACATGTTTCGTATGTTTCGAAGTAATGTTTCAGTTATTATATGCAAGATTATGCATGTATGATTAGGATGCTTGATGATGCATGATATGCGTGATTTGCAGTGCCTAAATGTAGGCATAACACCGGGGTGTTACATGTTCGGGGGCTTGTCGGTGCGGGACCCACGGGATACCCCACAAGGAAGGAAGAAGATCTAGTCTAAGTAGGATTCTTCTCATGTAATCTTAGTAGTAGTATTATTCTGTAATCCTACTAGAAATTCTTATTGTAAACCGACTAGGACTTTGGCCTCCTGACTATATAAAGGAGGGCAGGGTTCCTAGAGACGAGAGAACTTTGGACGACACAATACTTCACAATCAATCCAACGCAAAGGCTAACGCCGACTGGACGTAGGGCTATTACTCGATCAACGATCGAGGGTCCGAACCAGGATAAATCGACTGTCTCTTGCGTTAACCGTCGAATTCTGCACACGCTGAAGCCCGAACAAACTGCCCCGGGGACCCCCGTGACAGGCTATCGGTGGTGAAACATCGACAGCCGGTACTTGTAGAATAACTTCTCCTTTGTCATCTGCCAATCCGGAGCAGTGTTGAGGCAGTCGGGGGAGACAACTTTGCAGGAACAAATGTAGCCATCCCAGCAAAGGCCAACCCACGAGTTGGTCTCACCGTCAAAGTGAGCTTGTCCAACGAATGGCAACGCCCACTCGCCATGCCACCTCCAAGCAGAATCCTTGGTGTTGAATGAGTAGGTGCCCATGCGGCCATTATTCGCCGAGGTCATGAAGATGGTGCATCCATCCGGTGCAACAGATAAGAGTTAACGCGCCGCGAAATGTTGAAGGCGGCGGTGGCGAGTCTTCAAGACCAGCCCTCGTGGGATGCTCCCAAGACATGGCTTCGAACGAGTGTCTTTGGCTGTTGGAGAAGCGATACGTCAAGGCGTGATCACCTCACCAACGGCCACAAAGTGATACCGAAGCCACATAGCATTTTAGGAGGGGCATGAGTGCCGATGGCCAAGACGGCCGCCTCGGAGTCGTGAGACGAGGCCGCAGCTACCGGGTCATGAAGGCGAAGATCTTGGTGCCTGTGGTGGCGAAGGACATGCCGATGTGGGGCACGTGGCAAGCCGGTGACTCTAACCGCAGGGCCAGAGGTTTCGGGAGGTGCCCGACGACCCTGCTCTGCAGGCCGTCGTTGGTGTCAAAGCTGTCAGCGTCGATCTTGTGGATGCTGAACCCCTTGTCCCAGTCATCCAAGACGAGATAGAGGTGCTCCCGACCACGCCTCGGCTTCTTGTCACCGCCGACGACGACGCGCGGGTTTTGGCCCTCCTGTTCTCGGCGCTTATTAGACATCCCGACTGCGACGCGCGGGTTTTGACACATTTGTATATTATATTATTGAAAACAACAATGGATACTTGGAAGATTCTAGAACGATCTCGATATTAAAAGAGGTAATAAGGTATTTACCATCCAAGAGTCTAGAGCTAATTTCTGTTAATGGAAGAAAAGACTAGAACATGCAACCATGCTTCATAGTGAATATAAGAAATTTCTAAAAGGCTTTGGTAACTACAAGACTAGATTGTTGCCATCCAAAAGGGTAAGATTATGAGAAAGTCTACAACAATATAGAAGGTAGATATTTAGCTCACTATGATATAGGGTGAAGTGTGGAATGATCTTGAATTAGAATATTTTGTATGGATTGATTTGGATGGTTGCCACTTAGCACCAATCCAATGGTCATGTATCAATATAAATAAAAGCTAAATACACAATAGTCATTTGTTGTTTAGTGTGAACTTTAACTATTAGGTACTAGAGATAGGCTTTAACAAGCACAAACCGGGGCAAGATGTGTCAAGAAATGAAATGGATTTCAAGTGAAAAAATAACTATGTGATGAATTTGAAATTTTGAATAGATCATAAGATTGTGCATTTGTGTATAGATTTTGAGAAAAAACAAAAGACCCCATAAAAAATGGATCATAAGAAAAAACAAAGGACACCATCAATTTAAATAGAGCAAGTCTTTTATAGTCGACAGATAGATGAAATACGGGAGATTGACTAGATGTCATTGGTGGCTAAGTATAAGCGAAGAAACACGGTGAGTGCCTCAGAGTACGAATAGACATCACACGAGCCGCTGTGTAAAACAAGCAATCAACGCCGATTACGTTCAGCACCCACACCCGCACCCCTGAGGTAGCGTAGGAAGTCATCTGGTTGGCCATGGAGCTCGGGAAAGTGACCATATGGTTGGCCATGGAATCAGCACGCACAGCCCCTACCTGGCACGCCATTGTCGACGAAATCTGGTCAGCAATCATCTTTGAGGACGACTTTCCTGGACTCGTGGCCCGATTTCAGCGCAGCCTCTTCAGAGCTGGCCTGCTGCCGATCTTTCAGCTGGACATTACCATGGCCTAGCTATGCCGCCATTGTGTAGAGCAGGGCTAATGATACTGCTAACGATACATTTGCTCCTAATCATACTGTTAACGATACTACTGCCCTTGTGTAGAGCAGGGCTAATGATACTGCTTATGACATCTGTACCATATTTCCAGCATTCATTTTTGCTGAAAACCACAGGTTTCTGCTAAAAACATGTGAAACATTGTATTGAGTTATTCATTCAGTGAAACGTCATATTACTTGGGTCTGTCATCAAGTCTTGCTTGCTCAGTCAGATGTATTTTATCAGTTCACTGTTGCATTGCAACTTGGTAATAGTCAGGAAAACCAAATGTTGATGGCACAGAAAATTATCTGATTTTGATGTCTACATGCTCTGAGTGCTAGAAAACATCCAACCAAACCAACATTTAAAAACTTGATACTGATTTGGTTTAGCTATACTGGTTTGGCACATGCAAACAGACCAAACTCAGCAAGACAAAACACCTATTTCTAGCTCCTTGCAGTTTGCGTCATGACTTCATCTTGCGCAGCCACTTGATAGAGTTCTCAAGCTCAGAATACGCCGTCACCTCCGTGAAACTCTTGGTCTGAATCGCATAATCAAACACCTCATACGCGCCGGCAACGCTGCCCGATCGACAAAGCACCCTGACAAACGAGGCGTACGCTGACGACTCAAGCTTCATCACAGCCACTTCCACGGACTTGTACACCTCGACGGCCTTGTCCAGCTTCTTGTGATTGCAGAGACCCATGTTCAATTCATGTGCAACAAGGAAAATAGGCTACATCAACAGCATCTGCAGATTACCATAACTGAATCAAAACTGAGACTTCAGACACATGCATTCCTTCAACAAAATGTATTAGTTTTAAGGCAGGTCCTGCCAAGACAGATTCCTATCTGAACCAACATCAGGAATATCTAGACCCTATGCAAGAACCTGGAAGAACAAAATAAAAACAGGACATTGATGTAACAAGAAATTATGAAACAACTAACATTCCGAAGTGTAGACAGCACAGAAAATTATCAATTTTGATGTCTACATGCTCTGAGTGCTAGAAAACATCCAACCAAACCAACATCTGAAAACTTGCTACTCATTTGGTTTAGCTTAGCATGTATACTGGTTTGGCCCATGCAAACAGACCAAACTCAGCAAGACAAAACATGCCACACGCGGCCTTGTCGTATGCATACTCTCCTTGCAGTTTGCGTCATGACTTCATCTTGCGCAGCCACTTGAGAGAGTTCTCAAGCTCAGAATACGCCGTCACCTCGGTGAAACTCTTGGTCTGAATCGCATAATCAAACACCTCATACGCGTCGGCGACGCTGCCCGATCGACACAGCGCCCTGACATAGGAGGCGTACGCCGGCGACTCAAGCTTCATCCCAACCGCTACCATGGACTTGTACACCTCCACGGCCTTGTCCAGCTTCTTGTTCTTGCAGAGACCCATTAGCAGCGTGTTGTAGGTGCGCTCATTGGGCTGGCACCCCTTGGCCTCCATCTCCTCGAGTAGCTTCAGCGCCCCAAGCGCGTCGCCCTGGACGCACATCCCGTTCATGAGCGAGGTGTAGGTGATGACGTCCGGGAGGTGGCCTTCCGCGGCCATGGCGTCGAGGAAAGCCCTGGCCTTGGCGACCATCCCGGCGCGCGCGAGGCCGAAGATGAGCGTGTTGTAGGTGACGAGGTCGGGGTCGACGCCGTCGCTCCTCATCTGCCGGAACACGCGGAGGACGGCCCCGGGGTCGTCCGCCGCGACGTGCGCCTTCATGAGGGCGTTGTAGAGGTGCGCGTCGGCGCGGACGCCGTGGTCCCTGAGCACCGGGAGGACGCCGGAGATCTCGCGCGGCCCGCCGCGGTGGCACACGGCGTCGGCGAGCGCGAGCAGCGCCCCGCGCGGCGCCGGGTTGGGGCGCGGGGCGCCGTCGTCCTCGCCGGCGGGGTGGAGCTTGTCGAGGAGGCCCCGCGCGGCGAAGACGGAGCGGGTGGTGGCGAGGCGGCGGAGGAGGAGCGCGAGGGAGTGCGTCGGAAGCGGCACGTCCGGCGGCGCGGAGAGGGCCAAAGCGGCCGCCGCGTCCACGTCCGCGTCCGCCGCCGCGCGGATGGCGGCCGCGAGGTCAGCCGGCGTACGGATGGGCTTCCGCTCCTCCTGCACGGCCGGGGCGGCGGCGTCGGCGGGGGGCAGGGCTGTGGATCTTTTGGAGGTTCCGTGGGGCTTCTTGCGGAGTTTGGCAGGATTGGCGGGTGGACGCGCGGGCGGAGGAGCAGGCGGCGTGGAGGGAGAGGCGGCGTGGGGTCTGGGTTTTGGTTTGGGGATGAGGGCGAGGGGGAGCTTGGCGGCGTGCCGCGCCTTCCCCATCCTGCGCGTCCCCTTGACCCCTTCCAGGGGGCCGGGCAACGGCGGCGGCGAGGGCGGGAGAGAGGGGTTGGATTCGGGCGGCGGCGAAGAGGAGCGGAGGAGCCAGCGCCGCAGCGTGGAATGGTGGACAAGGCGAGCTGTGTTGAACTCCCCAGGTGGGCTGCGTCTGGAGCGATGTAGTTTCGGCCCAAGAAACTTGGAGACATGGGCTCGCTCGTTTGTCAGAAATGCTGGGCCGGGACGGAGCTCCTTCTCTTGGGTTCAGTTTCAGGATTTTGGAACATGCTCGAGAATTTTGGTTGGGCACAAGCACAAAAATGAGGTGACATTCTCAAATCATTTATCTTTAGCGTGTAGGTGCTCGGCAAAGTTTGTGGGCACCAAGTGAGTAACCCACGAACCTATGTGTAAATTAATAAGCTATCGTTTAGCCAAGCTCCTTTTCGGCTATGGCTCCGACTTTCTGGCTCTAACGGCTCCGTTTGTTTCGTATAGGGGGGAAAACACACTAGAAGTTAGAGCTGTTTTGCCCGGCGCTACAATGCAGCAACATACATGATGATCTTGGAGCCAGAGTTGAGCAGGTGGAGCCCTGCCAAAAGCATCCTAAATTATGTGGGCAACACGCATAGTTAAGCCCATAAGTGGGCTTGTATTCATAGCCGCCTAGCCCTAGATCAAATTTCTTTAAGTAAAAAGATATATCATAATACCTAAATTCCAAATAAATACATCACTAGTACAAACATATTTAGAAAAAAAAATTACAATGCATAAAGCAATTGTTAAAAGACTTGTTTTGGTTTTCTCGCTTTGAATTGTTGGGTGAGATTACAACCTATTTGGTGCGGCTCGTACACTGGCTCTTTATGTTATGTGGCGTCATACCAAACAGTATGACCCCGCGGATAGTGTTTTTACTCTATGGTGCAGGGAGCCAAAGTTTGTTTTAGCACGTGAAGCCAAAGCATCAAAATGTAGCTTCGACTGTAGGCAGGGGCGGATCCACTGGGGGCTAGGGGGCTACAGCCCCCCTTGCGAGCATGATTTCTGTCTTAAATCATTGTTACTTAACCTCAAATTATCATTAATATCTAACTCTAGCCCTAAATCTTTATTATTTAGCCTCCTCTGTCCCTATCCTGGATCCGCCCCTGCCTGTAGGAGGGCTCCGGCTCCCAGTCTTGCCAAGACTTAGGCGGTCCAATTCTAAAAAAAGAAGAGACTTGGGCGATCCAGCTCAAGTTGATCGACGAGCAAAAATCTTGTAAACACAAACATCCAGGCGAGTTGGCTTCTAGTTGCACGTCCAAATAACTTGCCTGTATCGATGACTCCTCCACTTGAGATGTGTACTTATTTTGGAACCGGAGGAGTATTTAGTTTCTCACCCAATTAGGTAAGACACGATAGCAAAATATTCAAGCACGCTCTAGACATTCGCACGCACGCGTTGGCTGACGGTCCAAGCTAGGCGCAGGATCTTTTGAGCAGTAGTAGTTGGGAATGGAACGGTTGAGGCGGGGATCTTTAATAGAAGTTGTAGTTTGAGTTGAGTACAATAAATTTTATTTTTGGACCTAAACCTAAATTAGTCTTTAACGTGGTCAAATTATGACGCTGTTTTATGCTGTTCGGCTGGTATTAAAGTCGATCGATAAACCGACTGAAACTATTTTATTATAAAAAAAATACTACTGATAAGCCGAGCGAACGGGCCCATGCCTCTGACTGACCGGTGCACATTTTTCTTTTCTTGCAGTGGCCCGTCACCCGTGGGTACCAGGGAGAGGAGAGCCGGAGAGGTAGAGGCGGCCGACCGGCCGTACTATCCGACAGCGCCCAATAGAAAAACCCCATCCACATCTACTAGTACTACCTCTCAGAGAAACTCCATGGTCCATGCTCGCCCATTGCGGATAACGTCGCACCAAATCATGTCAGCTCTTTAGTCTTTTTATTAGTCGTGAGAGATATAGATAGATAGAAAAAAAGATTAGTGTGTCTCAAACGTGCTAGACTTCTTAGTTCTCTACAATAAATAAAATAGAACGATCTATAAGGAATAGAAATGATATACAATACACGTGTGTTTTAGTAAAAAAACACATGTATTTTTTTTGTATGACCGCACGCAGGAGCCGCTGCCACATGGCCTCACCCCCGTCCGCATGCTGGCCACCTCACCACTCTCTGTAGCACGCACACGTGAAGTGGAATTCGAGCGCGCTCCCTTTCTCTCTCTCCCCATCCCCTTCCTCCCCCCGCTCCGGAGCAAAGGCGCCGAGCGCCATGGCCGGCCGCCGCCGAGCTCCCAACCACCACCACCAACTTCACCACCCCTAGCTGCTCGCCCAGCGGCCCTGTTTCGGTGTCGGTGACGGCCAGGCACCAAACCGCCGCGGACGCCTCGTCGTGAGCTCTTGCGGCCCTGCTGTCCTGTCGTAGCCATCGCCCAGCTGAGCATCCGTGCCGTCGAGCGACCGACCTGCGCACGCGTCGCCGGCCATGGCAGTGGCGGTGGCGGCGCCTCCCCGCGCCCGCGCCGGCCATGGCGGCGGCGGCGGCGGATCTGTTATTTGTCATTCCATAGAAAAAAATTGTGATCTGTGATATGTGGAGACTGGAGGTAGAAGAAAGATGGAGGCTGTTGGATCTTAATCCTATGATGAAAAAAAATTATGTGTTAAAACTACATAAAATATATAGTTGTGTAGTAGACAGTCCGGTGGAGGAGACGCGGAATAAAAGTTGGAGAGTAACAACTACTGACACATGTGTTTCCGTGTTTGGTCAAAAAAAATCCATTTCTCTGGTTTCACAAATTTCTTTTTAAATTACACCTAGAATAATATTTTTTCCACTAAGAAATGCGCACACGTATTTCTCTAAGCCGTGACAAAAAAAAACAAACTTCTATTCTCTCTATCTCTACTATATAATTAAAAAAAGAATAAATACCCAGACGTGTTGCATTCCTCTCGAATACTCACGGTATATTATCCTTTTGCAAATATACGCCAATGCAGAACAACCTTTTCTTTTTCTTTTTTTCCGAAAGTAACGCGGAATAATAAATAGGAAAGGCACATGTGCCTAGTGGACCCGACATTAATACGGCGCAAACGGAGGGACCAAACCGTAAAAAACGCACGGTTCCGCTTCGTCTTCCATTCATTCCGCTTCGTTTTCTCCTCCTCTTCTTCGCTCCCTCGACCCAACCGGGGCGCCGGCGGTCTTCTCTTGGCCCCGCTAGATCCCGCCAATCACCACGCGGCACGCCGCCTCCCACGCACGCGTGCTCTCCTCTTCCTCGCTTCGTTCCTTCCTTCCGGGATTCGGATTTGGGGATTGCTGTCTGTCCGTCCCAACAAGGAGGAAGACGAGGCGAGGCGAGGGGAGGGAGATGGGTTACATTGGCCACCACGGCGTCGCCACGCTGCGGCGCTACAAGTACAGCGGCGTCGACCACTCGCTCGTCGCCAAGTACATCCTCCAGCCCTTCTGGTCACGATTCGTCAACATCTTCCCGCTATGGTTCCCGTAAGCGTCCTCCCCTCTCTGCCTCTCTCTCCCTCCCTCCCTCCCTCCCTCCCTCCCTCTCTCTCTCTCTTTGATTCTTGCTTCATCCGTCCGTGTCAACCTCCAACTCTCCCCCGTTGCTGAATGGCGTAGTGAGAATGATTGGTTTTCCAGCAACAAGCTAAGATTGTTTTCAGACCCGACCCCGTTGGCGGTGCTGCCTGCCTGCCTGCATCCACCATCTTGCTGCCATTCTGTTCCTATTGGCCACACTGTCCTGATCTGGTTTTGATTCATTGTATACCGACATCTCCAGTTCCGGCTTATTTGTGTGGCATCTGCCATGTGTGTGATTTGATTCGGGCAGTTCGAGCTTACCTGGCACTAATGTTCTGTAACGCTGAGTCCCGACCTTTAGCTTAGCTTGAGGAATCATCTTTAGCTTTGGTGAGCATCCCCCAGGGACTGTAGACTGCACACAGCCACAAAGCAACGGCTTTTGCTGAGTGTTTCCATCTTGCAAAGCTGAAAAAGCTTGGCTCGCATATATTCTGTAACCATGTTCTTCCGGATTACTTTAAGAGCCTTGCCTTCAATGTGACATCTGAGGATTATTCTGACCCATGTACTTTAACGCCGTTATTTTAACTTTATGCGATAGCGACTAAATCAAGCCTTGCCATTCTTTGATTCTGCTGTTCAGTTGCTTCCTTGGTAAATGGAAATGGGGTATGCCTTGTTTTTTTTTTTCAAAAAAAAGTATCCTGTCATTTGCTGTTTACCTGCAAAGTTTATCACTCCGATGAAGTAAGTCACGTTTGCATTCTTCCTTCAAGTTAATGCTTGCACACATCAAGCTGTTGCTTCTTTTTTCCTCTGTGCTGAGTGCTAACTTTATCTTTTTTTATTTGTTTTTTGGTTGATGCTGGGATGATCTGCAGACCAAACATGGTGAGAGTTCAATTCACCTGCTCTTACAATGAACTGTGCTTCTTTTGTTGTCCTGATAGAAAGTATTGATGCATTTTTCTTTTCAGATTACACTGACAGGTTTCATGTTTCTACTGACATCGGCATTCCTTGGCTTTGTAAGTATCTTACTGCAGTAAAGTTTTCAATACATATAATACTGTATTGTTCTTACATATGTATGTGAGTTTCTCTTTCTGGATGATCATAGTACTACAATACTAATAGTTCAGAAAGCTTGAGCCTTATTACTGCTTCCATTCTACGTGCAGTTATATTCACCACATCTAGATACAGCACCCCCCAGATGGGTTCACCTTGCTCATGGACTGCTTCTCTTCCTTTATCAGGTTTGCCAATCTTTATGTGCTCACCCAAATACGCATTGCTCTACTGCCATATTTTCCCTTCACAGCATAACGCAAGCTTGGCATTCAACTAGTACTCTAATTTGTCAATCTGCACTTCTAGCACTTTTTTTTTAATTCAAGGCATGTACTGACCCATGGTATCTAGGTTTTCGTAATCAATTTTGTGGATCTTAGGATCCCTGAATATCTTTCTGAACATCTGATTGGGGTTTTCCGGTTTTCCTGGGATCTAATAGCTTCATTTTTTTAATTGAAATATCATGTCAAACCTTCCACTTTTTTAGTTTACATGGAATGGTGTTTATGCAGACTTTTGATGCTGTGGATGGAAAACAAGCAAGGCGTACCAACTCATCAAGTCCTCTAGGCGAGCTTTTTGACCACGGTAATCTCCAGTTGGAATTTAAGCTAGTGTACTCAGTTTTAAGAAATCTCGTATGATGCTGACAAGTTTGCATCCTGTGCAGGATGTGATGCGCTTGCCTGTGCTGTAAGGCCCACCTGTCAATCTTTTTTCTTTCAAGTGCAATGATTTTGAAATCGTTGCGAGCTGATTATTTTTTTATTTTATCTATTAGTTTGAGTCCTTGGCTTTTGGAAGCACGGCAATGTGTGGAAAGGCTACCTTCTGGTTTTGGTTCATTTCAGCTGTCCCATTTTACTTCGCAACCTGGGAACAGTGAGTTCTTGTGTTCTTGCCTTGTCCACCAGCGATGAATGAAACATCAAGCTGTCGTATGATCAATCATTGTTCTAAACTAATTTGCATGTTTAATACTTTTTATATTATACATATCTTGCCAAATGGGTCATATTTCTTTTGATTAATGCCTCCCACCGTCCCACGTGACTCTTAAGTCTTCTGGAGGCTCTATTTTTTTTTAAAACCAGACACAATGTATTTTCCTTTATTATGCTGTATGGACCTCAAAACTTGATTTCTTACTTTTGTTCTAGTGGTTCATTATGGTTCATTTGGTTCTGTGCTGTTGTGCATAATATATGTTGTTGCGTGGGAAGTGCTTCAGTGCTTTCTGGAAAGTGAACACACTTGTGTAATTATAAATAGGGATATAATGCAGCTACCACTATCCTGCTGAGATTTGCACAACTTAGCTTCTGCAAGTGCAAAGCACTACTCCTGTCAAGCTTCACTACTATATACATTTTGTTGTTTATCTTGATGCTTTCTTTTCTATTTTTTGTTGAAATGATTTCTTGTTTCTCCTGTATAACTTCATGCTTCATTGCTCTGTGCAGCTTTTTTACAAATACACTTATTCTTCCTATAGTCAACGGACCAACTGAGGGCCTTATGCTGATCTACTTGTGCCATTTTTTCACCTTTTTCACAGGTATCATTTGGTTTAAACTGTCAATTTTCATGCTTATAAGGTCCCTGTTGAACTTTAAATAAGGGGTGTTCCTCTTCTAATTCACTGTGCATATGTATGAGGCCTTTACTAAAAAACATGTGGTTTGTGGTATTTATAGCTCATCTTCCTTTTTAGGAGCCGAGTGGTGGGCACAGGATTTTCAGAAGTCAATGCCCCTGCTGGGTTGGGTTCCTTTTATTTCTGGTATGTATGCTACCATACTAAGATTCCTTTTTTTGTATTTATAGTTATATTATCATATGGTCACCAATTTCTTTTATTTTAGCGCCATATATATCACCTGTTCCTGGCATTTTTCTTCCTCTTAATACTCTGTAAAAGCTTCATTGTGAAATGGAAGACGAATTGACTTTACCTATACTGAGGTTTTACGCTCATTGCCTCTTTCCCCAGAAATCCCGGTGTATGACATTGTGCTATGTCTTATGATTGCTTTTGCTGTAATCCCAACAATTGGATCTAAGTAAGTACTGTGCGACAACATGTATTACTTTCAAGTGGTATTTTGTGCTATCTGGTGTTCTGTATCATTTTTTTTGTATATTATATGGCCCTGTAATCTTATCTGTAAAGATCTCTAAAATTACATTTGCTGTTATATTGAGTTCTAAAGTCCAAAGAAACAATAAGTATATTTTAATCTTTATTTCTGTATATTGTTTCATATGTAAGATTAATTTATCTTTCCAATAAAAAAGAAATAGTTTAATCTTTAATTGATGTCTCGCTATGAAGTGAAATGGCTAAAGTGAAATTACAGTTGCAAAATGGACCACCTGATAGGTTGGTACATGAATATTATAGTGCCAGAGCTAGTTAATGCTGCAACGAACCAATTGAATGAATTGATACCCTTTTAGCTGATACATGTTTCTGTACAATATATCTAAAACAACCCCTATCAAACCAAGTGATTTTAATGCTCTAGTTGAAGTCATTATCAGACTTGCACAAAAGGTACCTAAGTTCAGTTTTTGTTTCCGCCTTTTCGTTTTTTTAACGCTTGCGTATAGATCTATGGATGGAAAGGCATAATAGACCAACTGCTGAATTATGTACTCTTTTGGTGCTTAAGCATAAGCATACACATTGCATTTAAGATCTAGGTCTTGGACTCTTGGTTAGATGCTCTAGTACCTTTTTGAATCGCTAGCGAAGCAAGTATTGCTGATCTAGTGGAACAATACCTCGTTTACTTAATGCTTGAGCTTATTACAACAACAACAACAACAACAAAGCCTTTAAGTCCCAAACAAGTTGGGGTAGGCTAGAGTTGAAACCCAGCAGAAGCAATCAAGGTTCAGGCACGTGAATAGCTGTTTTCCAAGCACTCCTATCTAAGGCTAAGTCTTTGGCTATATTCCATCCTTTCAAGTCTCCTTTTATTGCCTCTACCCAAGTCAACTTCGGTCTTCCTCTGCCTCTCTTCACGTTACTATCCTGGCTTACGATTCCACTACGCACCGGTGCCTCTGGAGGTCTCCGTTGGACATGTCCAAACCATCTCAACCGGTGTTGGACAAGCTTTTCTTCAATGCTTGAGCTTATTGTATATTATAATTTTGAATGTTTGTATCATTGAAATATAATATAAGGTTGATAAAGTTAATTTGCAACTGTACAGCATTCACAATGTATATAAAGTCGTTGAAGCAAGAAAAGGAAGCATGGTGCTGGCACTAGCCATGGTAATATCAAAATTTATTTCCTTTTTTCTACTTTTGTGATTTTGTGATTCTCTTTCATTCATCTGATATTCTTCATTTGTGCCAGCTCTTTCCTTTTGGTTTGCTCTTGGCTGGAGTTCTTGCCTGGTAAGGCTTTTGAGACCCTTCCTTGCTTCACGTGTATGCAGTTATGCATCACTCTACCAAGAAATTTGAACTGGGCAATCTAAGCTACCAGTTTAGTAGCCTCTAGTATATCACTGAAGGATATTGCATTTTTGTGCAGGTCCTACCTTTCTCCTTCAGATATAATGAGAAATCAACCACATTTGCTAATTATTGGAACTGGTTTTGCATTTGGATTTCTTGTGGTAAGGCCAATTGTTGTAAACTGGTTTTGTATTTGCTTTTGTACAATCAATGCCTTGTGTAGCTGTGTCCTTCCTTTGCTTCTTTGTGTATATGATCGTTTGTAAATGACACCTTCCTGTTTAAGACTTGAGAGCATTGTGTCCTTATGCCAAAAATATAGTTTAGACCCTGATCTCTCATGCTGATTTTATTTTGCTCTTACTGATTCCCTTTTTCAGATACTGTAGTGCAGTAAAAATATGAACATTACTTTATATCTGCTTATATTGCTCCACAGGGAAGAATGATTCTGGCTCATTTATGTGATGAACCCAAAGGTCTGAAAACAGGGATGTGCATGGTACTTGCTTGGAAAGCCCAATCATTCTTTTGTTCTTTTTTACACCATCCTCATTTATGGCCTTGCTTAAAAATCATATTTATCCTTCTACAGTCCCTTGCGTATTTTCCATTTGCAATTGCAAATGCGCTGACTGCCCGGCTTGATGATGGGTTTGCACCTAGATACCTTCTTCTATTATCCTTTTTGTATTAATAATTTCATAGTCCATCTAATTTTATGTTCATTGATCGTTGCAGAAATCCCCTCGTTGATGAGCAGCTAGTTCTCCTGATGTACTGCTTATTTACAGGTACTGCGTTATTTATTCTCATGATTATCTTTTCTAGCAACAAGCGGGCAGTTGTGCAGTTGTGTGCTGAAGTACTTTTTTGGTGTGTTTTTGTTGCTCAAAGAGCAACATTCTTTTTGGTGTTGTATTTATGAAAGACTAAACCTGCTAAATCATCATGTTTAGAGTGTTTCTGTTGATGATTTGAAAACTTTAGATCAGTAGCTCAAAGCTTACCATTGCATCAAATTGACCACATTCAAAAATTCATTGACTGTAGGCTTGTCGCTCATCTTACCTTTGGATTGTAAGAGCACGTGGACACCGGTCTGACTATTTTTTTTACTTTTGCAGTGGCTTTGTACATGCATTTTGCTACGTCTGTTATTCATGAGATCACCAATGCACTTGGGATTCACTGCTTCAGGTTTTTAATCCTCATTACCATCATCTTCCTTTGCACGTGTTTGTATCATCAGTTGGTTGACACAAAGTTTGTCTTGTGGCAGGATCACTAGGAAAAAGGCATAGTTCTCCATCCATGGGCATCAGCGTTGCCCTGAATTGTAATCAATCACAAGTGGTGCCTGCCAGACAAGCAACTTTTCATATTTATCTCCATTATATACATGGATTCTGCTTCCTGAATCACGTTTGCATCGGATGGTGCCCCCTGAAAATTCACATCAGCATGAAGAACTTGCGGATGAGAAAACAGTGTATTTTTTAAACAATTAGTAACAGGATGTTGTATCTTTCCTTGACCATGTGCTCATGTAATGCTCGGCAAAAATTTTGTGGAATTTGTTGAGCTGGCTGATAGTGATATATTGCAAATTAAGAATTGCTCGGTACTGTTAAAGGAATGGCCCTTCATACATTTTTTGTGTGCTATCTTTTTGCACAATGCATTATCCATGTTATTTTCTTTTGTTTGTAGGAGGTGGTCTGCGTTATTTTAAGAAGCCTGTAGGTTTCATCTGTTTCTGATTGGATTTTTATTATTTCAAGTTTGGAGCAATGTGCGAAAAATATCAGTCCCCTTGTGTGAAAAATGTTTCAGCTGAGCATATGTGCAACTATTGTCTTGGAAAAATACTTAATAATCTCATAAACATAATGTAGATAGACACTAGTTACTAGTAGAAAGTATTTGTCGAAATCGTGAAAACCATGAAATATAACATGACAGGTCCGCATACGGCGCCAAAGCCAAGCAAACACAACTAAAGCACCCATCAGTCAGCTCAGCCCATTCTAGGCTGATTTATCATTTATTAATAACGATTCATGTTGGTGTGATGGGGCAGCAACATCTCAACTGAAGCACTTTTATTGTCAAAAAAAAAAAAAAAATGAAGCACTTTTGCTTCCTGTGCTGGAAGAGTTGAAAAGTCTAAACTCAAAAGCTCTTCACCGGATCTACAAAGTTCCAAGAAGTAAAAACTGCGCTGCACACTCGTTAACCCCATCAGACAGAGAATGTGATGTGGTACTCTTCTACCACCTTCTCCTGCGCTAATCCCCGGCACTCTACTGTAATTTCTCCGCAATTCCCTATGTCAAGTATCATATATTAGTATGTATATTGGCATGCTGACATGCGTTCAGTCAACTTCAGAAGGCAGGAACAAATTTCAGGCGTATAGATAGATGATCATGGGCCTGTTCGGCAGGACTGAAAAATACTATTCCGACTGATTGTTGTGAGAGAAAAATACTGTTCTAACAGGACATGAACAGTGATTTCGTGAGAGAAAAAACAAGCCAGCCGGCCGGTTTAAAGCCAGCCGAACAAGCTCCATACCTTGAGACTGTTCCAAATGCACCTTTACCAAGTTCTAGCTCAGGAGAAAAATCATTTGTGATTTGCTTCAGAAAGCTTGCAGGTATATCCTTGGGCAATGTGCTTAGAAGACTAGACGTGGTAGTGTTAGTAGTCATCTCTGAAGATTTAGAAAGTTGTGATCTGAGCGACAGCAAGACACAGCACGGGAGGAGGGGGACAAGACCCCCCAAGTCCATAAAGTTTTTACCGGAAATAATTACATTTTGTTAGAAATCACGTTCTTCAGCACATACACAGCCTGTTCGGCTGGGGCTGAAACGATCGTATACTGTGGGGGAATAGACCCCCTATACCCTCATGGGTATACATGGGCCGCACTATCGGAAGTGGCCCAGCCCGCAAGATGAAGACGTGCGGAGCACGACGCTATATTGTAATTGTATCAAATTAGATACTTTACTTGTAACCTTGTCCCTTCGCAGTATATAAGGAGGGGCAGGGGTCCCCTAGAGGACAGATCATACAGATCATAACAGATCTCACCCCAGATCAATACAAGTAACAGAGCACAGGACGTAGGGTTTTACGCCACACTGGCGGCCTGAACCTGTATAAATCTTGTGTCTTGTGTCTCTGTAACCATCTGGTTCCTGATTACACGTATCCTACCGATAATCTACCATCACGGGCACCCCCATCGGTGGACTGCCGACCATATTTCGTCGACAGTGGCGCGCCAGGTAGGGGTCCCCTTTTAGGAGTTGTGTGTGCTGATCTTCCAACGAATCATATGGCGATTTTCTTCATCAACATCATCCATGGCGACCTGGCTTCCGACGACATTGACGCTCGTGCCGGCCCTCATCGTCGACTGCTCATCGTGGTCCCACGCCTTGTCAGCGCATCGACAGCTTGCTGCAGGCCCCGTTTGCCAACACTATCCATGGCTCTACGATCCGATCTACAGAACCGTAAAGGCCATGAAGATTTGCATGTATTCATGCACGATGGAAAGATGCGGCCCAACAGATCCAAGTTCGATCGGCAAGCACCAACCGAGAAAGCTGTCGTTGGGAATTTCACCGAGAAGCAAAAAGGACGGGCTCGAGACGTCAACAGCTCAGACACGTGCAAGACACAGCACAAGCACGGGACTCCTGCTCCAGCAATCCATGGATAGGCCGTCGCTATTTGTACGTGTATCTACATACACACGTCGTGCGGATTTGTTCGCCGAGCCACGTTTCCAAGATCGGATCCACTCCAATTGAACGAGCTAAGTCGTTTCTATTATTAAATTATTATAAGCAATTCTATTGCGTATATACTTCTACATCTGCCTTCATGATTGTCTGCAGCTTCCATGACGGCATATTTTGATCACTTGGTCAACATCACCTCTACGGAAACATGGACAATCGTCAACCTAACGCATGCCAGCCATGATCTACAAGACACGGAAGCTAGGCGATTTGTGCATGTACTCATATGTGTACGTGAAGTACGCGTGCGTCCATCCTGTACGATGTCGGCAAGCCCCGCCGAGTCGCTGAACAAGCCGTTCGAGACCACGTCGACCACGTCCTAAGCAGCTCCGTCGAGCTCACGCCGACTACGACCACGTCGACCACGTCCCGAGCGGCTCCGCCAAGCTCCGACCACGTCGACCACGGACCACGTCGACCATGTCCCGAGCGGCTCTGCCGAGCTCCGACCACTGCGACCACGGACCACGTTGATCACGTCTCGACCGACCACGTCGACCACGACCAGGTCGACCACGTCCCGAGCGGCTCTGCCGAGCTCTGACCACGTCGACCACCAGACCACGTCGCAATGATGATCACCGCAAAGAACGGCGCTATGACAACTGCGACCACCGTCACAACAGGCCGAAAAGCACGAGGACCGGACAACTTTATCGCCATCGACTAGATTTCTATCCAAAGATAAGTACACTTCTAATATTTATATTTAACACAATTTTTATTACGACGTTTTTCCACAACGTCCTCGTCATAATTATTCTTCAAATAACGCTTGTCCATGTATACCATCTTAAAGATAACATACAGCTATACTTAATGCAAATCATCGACCAGTCATGTTGACGCTCGATGTCTCCAGAAACGGCCCTGTCTACCGGCTCTCTCCACACGTGTATGAGCGTCCGCCCTCTGCGTTACGGGTCGTTGGCAGCGGCTCCTTAGCGATGCCTTCCTACACGCACACGGGCTCCGCGCTCCACGCTACAGTGAAGCTAGCTAGGGCTGGAGGCTCAGCTACATACTAACTGGTCGAGCGGTTTATATAAAGTATAAACACAAACTTCATTTTAACACCGATGTTTACAAAGCACTAACTGCTTTATCACATCATACTCATTTGCAAATGACTGTTAAGCGTCATACGCTATTTCTTCACTATTGATTTTTCTCCATAAATTATTATTTTATACATCATATACTACCGTTCTATATATTTATATTGCAGGGATCTCGAGCTACGCTCGGGGACTTCGCCGCTCGCCCCTTGACCTGTGATCGGGGACTGCCTCGATCACTCTCCGGCCACAGCTCGGGGACTTCGCCGCTCGCCCCTCAACTTGTGCTCGGGGATTGCCTCGACAACTCTCCGACCACAGCTCGTGGACTCTGCCGCTCGTCCCTCGACCTGTGTTCGGGGACTGCCTCGACCACTCTCCGACCACAGTTCGGGGACTTTGCGTCTCAACTACATGCGACTGACGACTCACATACAGTTGGGATATTCTTTCTCGTTTAGACCTTGCTATAAGGCTCATACCTCGCCTTCCAGCAAGCTCGGGGACTACATCGGTACGATGCACCTGCCGGTGTATCTTGTATCGCCTGTACGACGATTGGATTCTCAACTTAACTGGGAATTCTTTTTAGACTCTGGCACCACGTGCCTACGTCACCTACTACCAGGCTCGGGGACTAAGTGGGCACACTTCACCTTGCGGTGAATGTGCTCGCTCTGATGGTTCAAACACCTCCGATTCTACAAGGACGACAGTGTCTCTTTTTGACTCAGAGTCAAAGTGGGCACACTTCGAGAGAAATATTTTTCAAATTTTATCTTGAGCCCCTTACATCCTTCTGACAAGCTCAAGACGACGCTACTCGAAGGATACAAGGCGCTCGGGGACTAGCTGTGGGGGAATAGACCCCCTATACCCTCATGGGTATACATGGGCCGCACCACCGGAAGTGGCCCAGCCCGCAAGATGAAGACGTGCGGAGCACGACGCTATATTGTAATTGTACAAAATTGGATACTTTACTTGTAACCTTGTCCTTTCGCAGTATATAAGGGGGGGCAGGGGTCCCATAGAGGACAGATCATACAGATCTCACCCCAGATCAATACAAATAACAGAGCACAGGACGTAGGGTTTTACGCCACACTGACGGCCTGAACCTGTATAAATCTTGTGTCTTGTGTCTCTGTAACCATCTGGTTCCTGATTACACGTATCATACCGATAATCTACCACCACGGGCACCCCCCTCGGTGGACTGCCGACTATATTTCGTCGACATATATGATCGTGGATTATTACTGCTGGCTGGTTTGGTGCGAGAGAAAAATACTGTTCTGGCTGGAAATTTACGATCGTTTACGACCAAGCGAACATGCCGACAATCACAAGCACAAACAGGGTGAACACAGAGTTGGGAGGAAGAGGGAGCTTTTCTGTATTTCACTTTCACTTTCA